ACCTGGGCCAAAGAGCATGGCATTGAGTGGGTATATCATATCCCCTATCGTGCACCAGCCTCCAGGAAAGTCAAACAATACAATGGACTGTTAAAAGACTACATTGAAAGCAATGGGTGGTGGGACCTTCAAACATTGGGACACACATCTAGCAAAAGCCCCACCTGGTTAGTCAACACCAGAGCACCTGCCAATCGGGCTGACCCTGCCCCACCAGAACTTTTACGTACTGTAGAAGGGGATGAACTCCCCATAGCGCACATAAAAAATATGTTAGGGAAGACAGTCTGGGTTAGTCCTGCCTCAGGCAAATGCAAACCCATTCATGGGATTGTTTTTGCTCAAGGACTTTGGTGGATGATGCAGAAAGATGGGGAAGTCTGATGTGTCCCTCAAGGGGATTTGATTTTAGGTGAGAACGGCCAATAGATTAAATTGTATGATGTTGATTGCTATATAATCCTGCCACTGTATGTCATCGTTATTATAATTGTTAAATGCTATATCAATGGTAGTACAACAAGAATCACTTAGATTAATGAAGAATGAACTTTGATAAAACTGAGCAAAGCACAGCAGTGATGGAACCAGGACTGACTGCACGCAACAATCCAACATTACACACCATCCTCCTGCTGTGCCCATTGTCACCCACCTGCTGCACCACACCAAAGCCCTATCCTGCTCTGCTGACTGAGCAGACTTTGCACCATCCCGCCTGCCCAGAGAGTTTGTTATGACAGATGGAACCCAAAGTCATGGACTGAATGAACTCAACAGACATTTTATAGAGATGGCCCATACACTGCAGAAATGATATCTGTGTGTATGTATTATAAGAGAGGAAAAGTGGTGGTGATTTATTGGAAATGTATTTGAAAGTGTGGGATCTGGGCATGACATAAATGATATAGAATAAGGGGTGGATATTGTCCTGTTTTCAGCTGGCATAGAGTTCATTTTCTTCTTAGTAGCTGGTACAGCGTGCTTTGGATTTAGTGTGACAATAATGTTGATAACACACTGATGTTTTAGTTGCTGCTAAGCAGCGCTT